CAAAGTTATGCAAAGTGCATGTAGAAAGGTATATCTCTACAAGTGATTAAGTCCTTCCTAAGAAACTGTTAGATATCTGAGTCACTGTGAATACCCTGACCCCATCAATTTGATCTTCAGGTCACCTGAGCCACAGTCATTCCAGGCTTTCATATACATGGGCAGGAACAGCAGCGCAGAGCAGACATGAACAGGGCATGACACTGTTGCTGTAGACAGCATACCGCCCTGGCCATGTAGTCAAGAGCAAAAGCCACTGCCTGCCTCCCAAAAATGGAAGAGGTGAAGCAAGAAGAAAACAGCCATTCAGAAGAGAGACACAGCTCTGACTGCTCTTCTGGGTGCACAAAGAGGCATATATGCAAAGCCAACGGATCAAGGCACATCCGTGCACCATATAAATGCCCTTCTGGATCCTGCCGTGCAAGCTGTAGTATAAGGAAGCATAGACTTACATTTAGCTAACAACTGCTGCCAAAACCAAATTATTACTCATCTCCATCATCCACCTACTGCAGCAAAGAACTAGCAAGTACAAGTGCAGTACAGCATACACACCAGCACAAACTGACCGTCTCCATTCATTTTGCATGAATTTATGAGTCTTTACACGTCCTCACAGATCAGCCCAGTGTGAGCAGAGATTAGCATTAGATGATAAGCATAATGGAGCCTGCTTGAAAATGCTGTCATCTCTCTTTAGAAGCTGACAGCTGAACTGTTAAGCTAAGAGGTCAGAGTTGATTGGCTTGAGCACCAGCTGTATACAGCCCTGGGAAACAAGCCAGAGACTTTTCCAGCTCAGACCCGAGACACTAATCTGTGGGTAAACCCCACGTACAGGGGGCGAACCAGCTCAGCTGTGTAGGTGAAGAATGATTTAGGAGCCCTGGCAATGGCAACCCCATCAGCAAATGTCAGTCTTCTTGATCCCTTCTAGCTCACTGCACCAACAAAATATAGATGAGTATTGTGCAAAGTTCTTCTCGAATTGCAAGGGCATCTATTGCCTTTGGGACACTTCCAAATGCAGTTGTAAAAATAGAACCACACTGGACTTGCTGTGTAGTGAGGAAATTATATGTGCTTCGCATTTTCTTGGTTTGATCCAGGGAAAACTTCAATGCAAACACAGAAATGCTGCCTTGATAAGGGTGAGAACCACACTTTTTGCTTTTCTTTCTGTCATCTACTGAGCACACACAAACAACACACACATACACAGTTCACACAGTGTGCAATTTTTTCCTCATGAAACTGAATCTTGAGTGAATCTTTGCAAAATGAAAAATGTCAGCAGGAAATAGTTTGTAATCAACCCACTTAGAAATGCAGCACATGCAGTTCCTCAGTCTCAATCACACTTCCCCATTCTCATCTTTCTCTCGCTGCACAGCAGTTTCCTACCCTGTGACTTGGAGATAACACATCATAGGAATGCTTGGATATGTCACGCAGGATAGAGAACCTGCCAGACCTGGCACCTGGGCAAGAAAGGAGAAAGGGGGCACAAGCCATACAGTCTACAGCAGGCAGACATCATTCAGAAGCAAAATAGACACAGTTGGTTTTCAAGCATAGTGTTTGTCTTTGATAAATCTCAGTTTTCCTTGATAAAAACACTTTTCTTGGGAAAAAACAAATATATCTATATATATAAAAACTGATTTCAACTGCAACCACTGATGCTTGATACAAGCGTTTTGATAACCCCCAATGAATAATTTTCTAATGTTTAGCCAAAGCTGCAAACCTTGGTGCCTAAAATTTGGTTTCGAGGTTGGTATCCATGCACGCAAACTAGTGGTCTGATCTCTCCAAAAGCACGTTGAACATCCTGTTTGTGTTGAGTGAAGTGCTGAGTGCTTGGCAATTCCAAATTACCTGGCCAGGAGCCAATCTTTTGAAATCTGAACATCTAAAATGAGGTGGCTACAGTCTGATCCATGGCCCAGGAAAGCAAACAGAAAGGATGCCACTGAACTTCTGGTTCTGGGTGAGGCTAATTCATCTATCTATACTTAGAGTGAAAATTGCCTTGTTGGGGTCAGGTGAAAGTCATGAGTAACTACTGTTTTACTTGTTGGCAGTTCCTGTGAACTCTACACAGAGTGCCTTTAGCAAAGTATGCGGGATGGGAGAAGCAGCAGGGTAAGCATTATGTCACCTTGGCAATCTTCTCCACGATCAGATATTGTGTTGCATTCGTGTCTTGTGCACCACACATGCTGCAGCAGGGGCGACTGCAAAACCCAGTGCTGAGGATACAGGGCAATGGATCACTTACTAGCAATCTTTAAGCAACACACACACTTAGCAAGTGGTGCTACTACAACGTTTGCTTGTCTTTCCTCTAAGCTCAGGCATGAGAGCCAGCTGTCACAGCCAGCATCTCTCCACCTAAGCATATTGAGACCAGCCTCAGGTACCTCAGCACAGCCCTGCATTGCTGCCTGCTCCTTGCAGGTCCCTGGAGGGGAAGGAGACCTGTATCAGCAGCACGGCACATCTCTAACTGCCTTCCTGCAGAAAGCTGCATTTTGCAGAAGACGCTGATTCTCTGAAGCCATTAAAATAACAGATGTGGAATACCTGGGAGGAGTTACACTGCTGATTTCACAAACACAGGGGCTGTGGGCTCAAGATTTTTTAGCAGGCGACAACACCATCACAGCAACCCTGACACACTCACGCCTTGTTCTACCAAAGCTGAGAGCGGCTGTGCCATGGCACTTGGCATGCTGCAATAGACCCCGAGGGACTGCTGCTCTGCACAGGGCTCGCAGCAGGGCTGGGGCGCCAGCTGACTCGGGCTTGTCCCTCCAGGCACTGCTCCAAACATAACCTGGCCAAAAATAGGGTCCTGGGAATCCCTGCCTGAAATCCAGCTTCAGCAAATGCAATTATTGACAATGTCTCGCTGGGACAGAGGTTCTAGTTGAAGCCCACGTCCACAGGCATCAACGGCATAATTCACTCTGGACAGAAAAGTGACCTGAACAGCCCATTCTTGTGAGTACGCAGGTGTTAAGCTGCAGCGTTTCCCCTCCACTGCAATTTTTAAATGATACAAATAAAAATGCAGGTGGGAGGAGCAAGCAAACCACCAGACTCGCACATCACACTATATCGTGTTTATCAGCAGGTCTTGCAGTGAACAGCAGTCAGGATGGGAGAAGGATAAGGAATGATACAAAAAACGGGTTTACATGTTCTTTATTGAAGTGAAATGAGCATGTGAAAGTAGAGGTTTCACATTCCCTTCTGCTAAGCGAGTTTGTGCCTCTCATATTGGTTAATACAGACGGTTACATTTCGTACTGCAGTTTTATACCCTTGAGTACCTAACACTGACACCAAACAAGCTGGCATGGTGGGCAGGGGCTACAGCAGTCACAGTAACTACTGGAGGAGACAGCCAAGTCAAACAGCTCCTAAGGATCTTGCATTTTACATTTCACAGTGGATCACTGAAGAATAAAATACTTACACCATCATAGACCCATCACAAACATTAGCACAGGCAACAGATACAAGAGAGTAAAAAAGAGATTCACAACATCCTTGACTGACTGAAAGCTAATCACAGCGGTGTGTTGTGGGTGCTACTTATCTCCGCAGACACACACTTAAATCACCTCCCACAGTTTCTGATTGCCTTTTATTCCTGGTAAGACTTCACGAGGAGCCACATGAGCAATACGGTAATCAGGACAATCATGAAGTTGAGGAAAATTTCTTGTGTGGATCGCTCCATTTTTGGGGAATAATCAGGAGAGAGAAGAGGTCAGCAGGTAGAGCAAAGGGAAAACTTCAGTAGATTGCCCAGGAGCGTCCTGGAGCTCAACCTTCTGGTCACAGGCTCTTCTAAGGGAAAAAGAAAAATATGTGAAGAACAGATGCACGGAGGTGGCAGGTTCAGCAGAGCTATTTATATTGCTGTAAATAAATGTTTGTTTCAGCAGCAAGGAGTTAGGAGGCACAGGGGACAGTAAAAACTAAAAGCTACATCTGGCAGCTTATCACCTTCTTTGATTTCCAGCATTCCTCAGTGTCACCCCAAATACACCACACAGGCGGGGAAATGAGTGCTGCTTTGTGCAAGCATTTTCAAATAAATTATGCCCAAGCCCCGTTTATTACTTTCAATAGATCCATGTTGTACCTGCAGCACTGTTTAGAGCTCTTTAAATTCCTATATTTCTTTGCATGTTTACATTAAAAAAAAAAAAATGGGTGCAAACTATTACAAAGACTGATGAATCTGAATTATTTATGTTACCACTGAAAGTACCAGGAGAACCTCAGGTTAGGTATTTTCATTTCTGAAGAACTTCATAAATTTTGTAAGTTAATCCTACAAATTAAACAGACCTCTCTCAAGAAACTTCTGACTTCCCTGCACTTTCAAGCTGCTATAGGTCTCTTACCTCAGAAATCCCATTCAAGTTGTGTTCAAAAATCTTTCTTGTGGTTATTGGTTTTATTTACTTTATCGCAGCACATTTTGAATTTTGTATGGTTTTGGAGTTCATGCAGAGAAATGAGAACACTTTATCATGACTGTCATGCACTAATCCCATCTGTATGACATGAAAATATAATAGAAACCTCCAAAAAAATGAACTCCAGACAAAGAATTTCAGCCACACAACCAAAATTTCAGCAGAGAAGCCAGATTAGACTGTAATATCTATAGTGCAAACAAGAGAATCCCCGAGACTGTACCAGCATGAAGACAGACACTTTGAATACAAAATGCCTTAGTCTGCAGGTTAGATATTAGAAGCTCAGTGCATGCAGTTAACAAATTCCTACATTCCCAGGTTGTTTTGCCAGCCTTGTATGTCCCTGGACAAGAGAAAATCTGACCTAGTAAGTAAGCCAAACTTTCTTTACCTTGAGGAGGTAAATGGAGCCCAGTGGTTCTGCCTCTGGACTTTGGGTGACTGCAGGTATTATTCCCCTCCAGGCTTCTGCCTATCTCCCACTCTGTCTGGATGCCCAGTCCCTGAGTGGGAACTGAAGTAGGCTGAGGGAGGAGACCAACAAGTGCATTGGCAACCCAGGTGCTGACATCACCCCCAAAACATTTTAAAAGGGCTAAGCTGGGCTGCGGGATTTGGTATGGGCTGTTCATGCAGGGGCTCTGTGGGCTGATTCACCTCTCTTAGCTCTTCTGAGGTGGTGCTGGGCTTAGAGCGGAGCAGTGGGCAGTGCTTGGGAGTCAATGGGACTTGACAGAGAACTTTTTTTGCTTGGTGTTTTCCCCAGTGCCAGAAAAGGGAAGAGTCACTTGCAGAAGTCTGTGCACACAATTCAGGATCCTTAAGATCATTGCTGGGGTATGGAGATCTGTCTATATATTTATCTTCATAAGTACAACACAGCTTTTGATCCTATATACCACAGCTTCCAGAGTTCATATGCATTTAAAATAAAGTGAATAGGAGCAAAATATTCTTGGCATTTGAATATAGACTACTGAAATCCAGGATCATTTGCTGGATAGAAAAGTTTGGGACTAGGAGGAAAAGCACAGTCCATGGCTTTAAAGAGCCACTGACTTGCCTGCATGCTCTTCTCCCATCGGTTTTCAAAGCTGATGTTAATGCTCCATCTGTCTGAGCATACAAAGAAGTATTTCTGCCACCCTACAGCATTTCTTCACGGAAAGCTCACTGCTCTGTGGCCTAGATAGCTGTAACCCCCACATTGCCTTATCTTAGCCCAAGGCACTGCTAGAACTTGCTATGTATGGGAATAAAAAGAAATGGCTTTTTGTTTCCTTTTAATCACTACAGCTGAAAGAGAGTGCTGGGAGGGCAGGCTGGACTGAACCGGGAGCAGACTCTGCCAGCCTTGTGCTGCTGTGGGTTTCCCCCACTCAGAGCCTTTGCTTCAGGTGCCTGATGCAAGTATTTCCACTGAAGTCAGAGGGGTCACTCCTGCAACGCAGGACTGCCAGATTAACATGAGGATCCTGATCAGGTTTAAGTGTGTAAGGTTATCCACAACGCTGGCCTTATTCTCCTGCCAAACACTGCATGATGCATAGCATGAAGATTGTTTACTTATTCTGATGCCTTTTGTACATTTACATTCGGGCATGCTGGGAGGTACCACAGCTCAGAGTATCCTAGCTTGCTGTGACAGTTCCCCTCCATCAGCTCCCACGTTTCTCCCTTTGCACCAGCACTCTCATCTCAGTGTGATGTCCCCAGTGAGGAAGGCGGGCTGGAAACCAACCCGATGAAAAACAAAACAAAACAAATAGCTGTGGGTAACTAGGGGGGCGGAGGGAAGGGATGTTCTGCCTGGATGATCTCCCTAAATAGTCTCCCCATGTAACCACTGGAGGTAGGAGGGGGACCAGAACCAGAGAAATCTTCCCTTTCATTGGCTTGTCTGCCTTGTCACTGCCCTCCTGGGCATCAGGCAGCACATTCACAAAAGCCAACATGCTGTGTGGCAGTCCTGTGCTAAAATATACTAATGAAAGAGCGAAGGTTTAACCCATGCCTCATTCAGATGCCTAAGTAGGTTTGCAGGCTCTTACTGTAATTCATACTCTGCTGGCTGTGCCACCAAAGCCTGTCCTCTCAAGGAAAACTTGAGCAAACCTGTCCCACACTTAAAGGGGGGTTGGGAAATCCAGACTCAAAGTTCTCCCCTCAGCCAGAGGGAAGACAGGTGTATGTCTGCCATGAACCCACCCTCGGCTATTCCCTTCCCTGGCATATTCTGAAGCAGAAATCTAAGGATTTCTCATGCAATGGCTAATCTACTTCACCTTGAATCACATTAATATCCACCAGGAAACATCTGAGTGCCATTGATCTTAATTACTAAATGTTGCACATCAGTGCCCAAATATTCTCCTGGGTCTATGCATCTTGGCGATCTTGAGGTTTATTTTACTCTCTGCCAATAGAACACTCAAAAAATGTTTTTCTTTAACGGGAACCCCACAGGTCTGGTCCCCAGGCCTGTATCTGCACTTCCACACTGATGGGGAGCCCCTTCCTTCTCTGTCCCAGCTTACATCCTTCTTGCACTTTGTCCATGACAGTTAGAAAACTTCCCTTCTTCAAAGAAGGGAAACAGTGCTGGACATGACATTAACCAGCACGCATGGCAAACACCCTAACTCTTTTCTACATGCACAGATGCCTCCTTCATTTTTTTGTGCTGAGGATCATACAGGAGACCATGGAAGAGCACACAGTGTTCACAAGAATCCATTAGGGGACAAGAACAAAGATTCGTCTAACCCAGCATACTGACTGGTAGGGAAATCTGGGGAAAGCATATAGAAACAGTTAATGTAGTATGATCTTTGCCCGGGTATCCTCATACTTCTGGGATGCAGCCTACTGGAACTGCTAGACTGGGACTACAAACAGTGTTGGGTTTATGACTTCCTCTTGCTCCCACTGTCAGTGTCCCCTCAACACAAGGGTCTGCTCCTGTAGCTGTGATGGCTCATATTGTGAATAGCTTTACACCAAGCAACCGGTTCATAGTTGAGCTTCTCTACACAACATCCTACATACCTTCAGCATTGCAAAAACGAAATACCAAATTCAAACATTCCATATGGCATAGAAAGAAACTTTCCCCAACTTATCAGCAATTTGAAGGCAGCTCATTTTCTGGAACTGAGACCAACTAGTTAAAAATCACTTTTTGATTTAGAAAGCTAGTTCTTAGCAACTTCAGAAGAGCCAAATTATGTTACATTTACTTTTGATGTCATCTAACAGAACGCTCCTATATATTTTTACAGACATATATATGTCTGCATGGACACACAAAGACTTGTGGGGAAAAAAAGGACTTAGCACTGAACAGAGGTCCAACAAGCATGCCTGAGCCGTGGAATGTGCCTGAACTTCTGACCTCAAAACACCATAGATTAGAGTATGCAGTTGCCAGGAGCTGAAACTTCTGCCCCACTCCAAAAACACATACTCCTGCTGTTTATGAACAAAGAGCCCAAAGACACTAAAGCCCGTATCTTTAAAAGGATGGTTTATTTAACCAAATGATTTAGTTCTGATTAGGAAAGCAGAAAGAAGAGAAAGAGAACAAATGCAATGGTTCCACTTGAAATGCTAACCCAGAGGTTCAGATACCATGCAGAATATTTTTCTCATTGGCACTTTTATTTTTTCTTCTTTTTCTGACAGATCTGGATGTTCTCAGCTTTCACGTGGCCCGTGCCAAATCTCCCTCTTCATGCCTCACATACTCAAACTTAAGGCTCTAGTCTATATTTAAAGTTGCTGTGACTATCTCAAGTTCTTCCCAGCCTACTAATCAAGTAGCACATAATCCTTCAAAGCCATTCTTACATAATTGGAGCAGCCTATGTTCATTTTTGCTCGCATCATTACCTTTCACACTAAGCAAGTGCAGTACATGTAGTTTTCAAATTTGCTAAGAATTGGCTAATTTTTAAGTTGGCACCTGCTCTCTAGTGTAATCACAAGTATCTTCTTAGAAGACCCACTTGAAGCAGTGATGTCTTATCTGTATGAACACAAATTTGCAACAACATACTGTACTTGTAATCACAACATGTATTTCACACATAACTACTGTGTGTCTCCATGGGAACTGAAGACAAACATCACTTAAGCCTGCTCAACAGATCTTAAATGTGATGATCTACAGGACTTCTGAACAGACATCATCACCTAACCAGGCACAATCACTCCACAAAAAGCTGAAGATGTACAAAGGAGCTTGAATATTGCCACATTGTCCATACCAGGATTGTACATGCCAGGGAGGTGTGAGGCCCATGGCTCTTAGCACAATGGCTGCATGACTACAGCACAGAACCTCCCACAGAACCAGACAGCATAGGCTCCCTCAAAAGAGTTAGTGGGGGAAACCCAGGCACTTAATACATGCAAATCATCTGCTATTGTAGATATCTGCTGTTGGGACAGCATCCCTAAACACCACAGATCATACTGACTTCCCCCAAAGGTAGCTTTGGAAGCTAGGAAGGCTGGACTTGGCCAGATGGCAGAGGTCTATATTTTTAGCATATGAACCTACCTGAGTTCTCATTAACAGGATTGACACCAGCCACGGGATGAGTAGGCAGTTGCTTGAATTAGCTGATAGAGGATACAACAGGTCAAAACAAGTCTTAAATGCTGTCAGCACAGAATCACAGAATGGTCTGGGTTGGAAGGAACCTCTGGAGATCATCTAGTCCAACACCCCTACCAAAGGAGGGCCACCTGGAGCAGGTTACACAGGAACACATCCAGGTGGGTTTTGAATGTCTCCAAAGGAGACTCTGCGACTCTCCTGAAGGTACCTGAGAGCCAGCTACCTTTTCTGCAGCTGCAGAGACAGTACAGTCCACTCAGACATTGGTGATTTTAGCCTCCTCTTTAAGTTAAGATGTCTAGCCTTGTATTTTGAAAGCTAAATGGGTTGGCCCTGTTGTGTTCCTTCCTCAAAGCAAGGAATAGAGCTTTTCATCTTCCAGAGCCTGCAGTGCATGGTGTCCTTGCCTAGAGATGCCATGTATTATTGCTGTGTAAAAACTGGCTATGCAAATCAGGAGAGTCTGATGGGCAGTTCATATGTCATTTACATTAGCATCAGCATATCCTTTGAGGCTTACTGAAGCATAAAACAAAACTGAAGGTCCCAAAATTAGCAGGGACATCAGATCAGCAGAAGCAAAGGAAAAATAATTAGATATTCAGAGCACCCAGTCACAAAAGTAACTAACTGCATTAGCATGCATCTCACCATCTACAGCAAGCTAGATGCTTTGGACAAATCCTCAGATGCCACAGGCATCATTTTTTCAAACCACAGCAAACTATACCTCCATTTCCACAGCACAACTGCTGTGATAGACACACATGGGATGCAAAGATTTGGATTCAGATCTGTTCTCTCTCAGGGAAAACTGGAAAAGTACTGCACAGCAATGGAGACACAAGGTAGAGACCTAACTGCCTCTGTTAACAGTCTTTCAGGTCTTAGGGAGCTTCAGTAATAACAAATGTAAGCACCTATGGCTAGTGTCTCCAGGATGAGACATCAGCACAGTATGGCTCTTAAGGACTCATATTTTCTGTGTGGAAAGCAGAAAGAGAACATCTTGCCCCATATTGTTGATGTTTGCTGCTCACCAATCTCCATCCTAAAAATCAGTGGGGACATTGATGAATAAGGCTTCCAAATTTTAATGATCACAGCACTCTCTCTTGCAATCTTTCATTCATGCTTCACACTGACTTGTTAGCGAGGCCAGCCCTCAAAAGGAATACAATAGGGAATGGGTGGCAGGCCGGGAATCATCACTATTTTTCAGTGTCTGAGGGGTGGGATTATCTCTTCCAAAATCAGCATCACACTACAGTCAATGGGGAGAAAGAGTCCTCCAAATGACAATTTATTTGACAAACGATAGACATTCACAGCTCTCTGGATGGTATTAATCTTTTTTACCTCCACAGTCATGCAAGATGAATATGACCAGAAGAGTCCAGGATAACACACAAAAATGGTTCAGAGAACCATACTCAAGTATGGGCCACAGGCCACATGAAATTTACGGTTGCTGACAGGTCGCACTCCCTCCTTCTCTGTCCGAGTTCATTTATTTTTAGACTTGTTCTTATCATATTTCTATCTGGCTTATTTTATTGTTTTCATTTTTAGTTTTATTAATTTTAGACTTTTCACAACAAGCCTAGAGTCAGAAGATACTCCTCTGATTTCTATACAACAGTTTCAACTGGACAAAAGCTGCAGTAATATGGGTCAAACTACGAACCCATCTGGCAATGCAGTTAGACCAGTAAAAAATTACATGCAATGCTGGACAAAGGGGGAAAAAAACAACTTGAAATTACTTCTAAGGTACTACAAATGAGAGAAGAATAAAGAGAAGGACACCTCAATTTTAGTCTTTAATAGCTGGCTTCAAACTACTTTAAATGTCAGGTCAAGTGTATAGAAAACATCAATTAACCTGCAACAGCAGTGACACAATCATCCCCACAGACAAATAAGATGGTGAATAGCATTTAGGAGATAAAATAGCAGAGGTAAAATCCTACAGAAATGCCGTAGAAAGTTAGTCAAAATCAATGTATTTTACATCTCAGCCAGTACATGCTCCCACTCGTTCTGAATTGACCTGAGTTCTGGAACACAGCATTCATGTTTTACTGGGCTGTAAGGAAAGGCATTAAAAGGCATCTTCTTGCAGTGCTGCTAAACATCAGGCCTTGCAGTTAATGAATTTCTCCTGGAAGAGAACTAAAAGTACGGGATTCACGGCTGTGTGGTGGGATATGCTCTCACCCCACTCTCTTGTGTAGCCATTATTGGCAGAAACTATGGAGAGGCTTTTGAGTTTAACCTACTGTAAAGCTAATTAATTTCAGCAATCAGGCTCAAGGTCACAGAGATGCAGACTACTGTGGCCACACTCTTCCACACTGTTAGAGTTTATAATGTGCTGCTGAATGGAGCTGTGGTTTGAGCAGACAGAGCAGGCATATGCAAGATAAATGCCTGTGGCTATGGTCCCCTCTGCCAGCAACATCTTCGGAGGCAGAGCAGGCATGGCCTTTGCCACATGAGTAAGAGTTCCTTATTGTGATGGGTGCCATTTCTGGGCTTTATGCTTGAACCAGAAGACTTCTGCCCACAGATACAAAGCCTTAAGGGAACAGAGAAAAAAATCTAGTCAGCAGTTGTTCAAAGTAATCTGCGAACTAGTAGAGAAATACCCGATAGGGATTGATGGTAGAAGCTGCAGTAGAGCACATTCGAAGAGGAAACACAATCAGTCTTTTAACTCATTTCTGAGTGGTGGAGGACATTCCTACTGGTGGTGAAAGACAGACTTTGGTGCAGCAGGATCAGAGGCAGAGAAGTGCAGCTTTCTGTACTCAGGCCTTGATGCTCAGTGCTCTTGTATCAAGACTCATTGGTGCCCTTGTAGCTATCAACGTGCTGAAAATCTCCAGCGAAGGGTCCAGCCACCCTGGAACAGGAATGGACACAAAGCAACAAGGGTGTCTGAGAACTTATGTCCTGTTGGTTACAGCCTGGTAACTGGTTGTATAAGCAAAGACAGGGTGCTCATCTCTGCAAAAAAAGGGATGAGTTACTGTGAAGTTATTTCTGAGTAGGTGTTTGTCCAAGAGCTGCCACTGATGCCAGACAGGTTCTCCCCTTTCTCTATCCCAGAGTGAGATGTCTATGTGCTCACAGCCTGGCTTAGTTCTCTTACATGAAAAGAAGTGAGTCTTTAATAAACTATGCCCTGGCACCATGTAGAAATACAATTTTTATCTCTGTGAACAACCATATCAGCACTACCGCTATGTGAGAAGCTTTCAGCTCTATCTCATACAGCTGTTGTGTGAGTTCTTAAATCTCTAGAGTCATTTATAAGGCAGACTGTAAATACGCCCTGCGAGGAAGGTTTGCCTTCAGTTACTAGGTAGCCACCAGCTGTTGTGCCAACACAGCCTGGTGCTTTCAGCAGACTGTTTGTGTGCTTTTACAGGGCTATGGGCTGAAGAGTCTGGTGCTGAAAGCTCACAGCCCAGCTCTGCGGCAACATGAAGCCATGCGGCTCCTCACCTGTGTGGGTACCCTTAACCCAGCTGCAGTGTGTGATTCCTCCTTCTCTGTGGGAGAAGAGGTGTCCCTGTCCATTGCAGGGGGTTGGAACTGGATGATCTTAAGGACTTTTCCAGCCTAAACCATTCTATGATTATGGAATAAATGAGAAGTCAGACATAGTTACTCTTAACAACCCAGGTTCTTGCTCCAGGCAATGAAATGCAGCTGAGCTTTAGGGACTGACTGGATCTAACCCAGAAAAAAAAGTCTGAACAGCCAAATTGTGGAACAGTCCAAACCAGCGCCCTCAGCCTGGGTTTCCCCAGGGCTTCTTTCCTCTTGCTTGGTTGCTTATTAGGATTAGCCATTTGGAAGTTTGCTAGACATGTTTGTCTGGGCTCTTTGCAAGACAAGTGTTAAGATTGAACAACAACATTTAACAGGACTACTGGCAGGGAATGTATCGGGAGCAGAGTCTTTTAATAATAGATAGCTACAACACTAAGGTTAAGCTTCCACTTTCGTTTGTGATGAATATTTCTTGCCCTCTTCCTCTCTTAGCAATCACAATTTGTGAGTCACTGACGAACAGTTAGTCCACATTTTGCTTTCTACAAAATCAATTAACACATCTCAACATGAGCAGATGGAGGCTTCATTACCTGGAGACAGCGATAAGTGAGGAGTACACAGACACCTACGTTTATGCCTACAGACTTGAGTGTGATATGGCTAAGGGGAAAAACAAGGACATTGACTCCCTGCTCAGCTATCATAACTTTCTTTGGGAGGATCATATCCTCTGCTAATACATTATCATTCATTCCTTTCTCTGAAGCAGGAAACTACTTGTTTTGCCCTTCCAGGGCTTGATTAAGCATTCATTAATATCAAATCTAGGTGCTACCAAACCAGCTGTCAGCATGACTTTGGATCAGGCCATGGACGTAATCCTGCAGCAGTGAGCAGCTGACCTGCCAGCACAGTCAGTGTTTATGGAAACTGGAACTAGGCACCCCACTTCCCCTCCATTCTTGGGTGTGCTGCTTGGTGCTGGCTATTTGCATGGTGCAAATGCTGCCACAGGTGGCTACAAGATGCTCAGCTTGAAAGTGCAGTGTTGAAAGCACTGGCTTAAAGCACCTCTGGTTTCTGCCCCTCTGAAGTCTATTCCAGTTCTTCTTGACTGGAAGAGGTGTTATCTGCCATCTTCCAGACCTTTTGTGGAGCACAGGAGACACTGTCCAGACTGGAGGTCTGGCTAAACTAGCAGCAAACATGAATTCCTACTCATTGTAACTCTTCCCTGCAAGAAGAGGGTGGTAAGGGGGGCAGGTCAGTACACTCTTTGGCTTAAATTGATAAATATATCAAAATCAGTACTTTGCCAATCGGACCTAGGAACCATCTGACACCTAACAGACTGCTCAGGCTGAGTGACATGACATTGACCTGTGTCAACCCTGGCTAACAAAATTATCTCTTATTCCAGCAGAAACAGCCAGGGATCCATGATCTGATCCCTTGCAGAGCTCCTGTGGGTCTCACTATGCTCTTAGAGAGAAGTGCAATCTGTGCCAGGTCAGACCAGAAACTCATTATCCCAGGAAACATTAGAGGGATGTTGGTTCATTATCTTGAGCTGAAGTTCAGTCTTTCCACC